CTGGGGGGTCCATCATGCAAGGAGTAAGGGTTCCTGTCAGTGTTAGGCCTTGTAGGCCCAGTGCCCACTGGACTCTAGGGTTTGGAAAGGTGGAGTGGACAGTGACCGCAGAGACCTTCCTGATGCCTTCACCTCAGCAGCACCTCACCTCCAACCCAAGCCCCGCCCCGTCTGGGCATTGATGGGGAAACCGTTAATTCTCCTTAATGCTGCAAAGCAAAAAGGGCCTCTGTTGGGCATGGACAAGCTGATGGTGCAGGGCAGACCAGCCTCTCCAGAAGGGCTCCTGTGTCCTCCCAACCACTTTGTTTACAGCGGCACCGGGTGGTGGCTCTTCACACTTGGGGACAGAAGGCCCACAAGAGGAGGAAGATGTGGACTGAAAGTGTCTGTGAGAACCCCTGCAAGTGTCCTCTGCTCTGTAGAGGACAACAGTGGCCAGGCAGGTCTGGGCTGTCCCTGGTGGACATGAGGAGGGCCTGGGGGCATGGCGACACTTGCCTGGAAGTTGGTCATATGACAGGGAGAGAATGGTCTCCTCTGAGCTTTCCAAGCTCTGTGGACAGGAGGGACAGACAGCATTCGGCCTGGGATTGGCAGTCATTCCCTTCTGGGTAAAATCAGCGCACCATGGGGGCTCTCTCAGGGACAGGGGTCAGAGGCAAGGGTTCGCGGCACCAGAGTCGATTCAGGAGTGCCACCTGTGGATACAGGCTCGGAGGGGGTGAAGCAGTGCCCCCTCTGTGTGTGCTGATTTGCATAGCCCCACCCCCAGCAGGTTGCCATGATTCCTACATATTGCTTGTGGTTGGACAAGCACATGGGGTTTCCGTTTGACGGAGAGAATGTCAGGTGGCCAGCATGGGCTTCTGCCTTGCACACACTGCTCCTGCCTGCCCTTTACACGTCCTGGGGGTGACTTCTGGCTGGGCACCTTCCTTGTCAATCTCTGGCTGGACTGAAGCCCCTCCGACAGGGTTTTGGCCGCCTCTGCAGGGCTTTGGCTGGCAAAGGTCACTAGGAAGACGGAGACTTAGACACACCCTGCCCTCATCTGCTCTTGGCCATCCTGTTCCAAACGATCACATGGGAAAGGTCAGGGATGTCTGTCCACTTGCCATGGTCACTCAGTCTGAGAGGCCACTGCTGACTCCATGGCCACTTAGCTGGCTGAGAGCTGGGTGACCCTCCAGCCACTCAGTCTGAGAGGCCACAGCTGCCTTCACGGGCGGGTTGCAGACGTTCTTCCGGAGAACTCTGTGGGCGCGACTAAGGCCTTTCCTCTCGGAAGAACATCATCCGTCACCCAGGCTGACCGGGGGCAACTTGGCCACGACGGCCAGTGACGTCCAGGACACAATGGCAACAAAACTCCTGCATCCGGACGTCAGCCTACCCTCCTTGGCAAAGAGCCCCTCCCGGCCTTCCCAGGAAGCCGTTCCCAGGATGTGGGGGCCGAGCCAGAACCATCTAGAACAGTACTCAGTCCCAGCCCTGTGAGGAGGGGTCTGCTTCCCTTGTGGCCTAGCAGCCTCCCCCCACGGTGTGAGTCAGTCCAGCTCCCAGGGACCCTGAAGGGCAGTCGACCACAGGCTCTCCAGGCCCCGTCCTTGCTGAAGCCCCATCTTTCTCCTGCCGAGTGCCTGCTGGGTCCGAAAGGGCTCCGCTCAGCAGCCCAGCCCTAACCGATGCACCACCAGGCGTCTCTCCTGCCCCTCAGTGCCCAGTGCTACCACCCCCAGTCATGCCATCACCCCAGCTTGTGCACCTCACCCTCCGGCTGCCCTTCCTCTTGGGTGTGAGGGGTGTGGCCAGCCCCTACCATGGACAGTGAACCCGCCTTCCTCTGTCCTCACATGGGCCCTCGTCACTGGGACCACCCTCCCAGGGCCCCTGAGCGGCAGCCAGCAGCAATGGGGTCAGCTTCTCAGTATGCGCACGCACGCACACCGGCCAATAACCAAGTGTCATTTAAAAAAATGACTTAAATAAGCGGCCGTGTGGAGGACGGATCGTGGGGGACGGAGGTGCGAGCCTATTAGCCCCTATTTGTGGGTCCAGGCGGCGGGGGCTGGGCGCCTAATGACAGGATGATCGCTTTAATGCCTCGCTGGCTGTGGACGAGCCCGGGGCAACAGCTGGCTGGGGCTGGGTCCTCTAATCACCCCCAGTCGGGACTGTGCAGGTGGTCCTCTCATCCTGGGGCCCAGCCAGGCAGAGCCATGGGGTCCAGGGATCAGCCCTGGGGCTGGTGAGGCGCAGGGCTTGATAGATGTCCTACCCCTGCACAGGACTTCGGGGTCCACCCCGTAACCAGGCAGCTACCCTCAGGCACAGGCTCTATAAGGCAGAGCTGACCGGACATCTCGTGGGGGGAGTGGGGGTGTGGCTAAGAGGGCCTGTGAGGCTCTGCAGTGCAGGGTCCTTCCCTCTCCGGGGATGGGCAGCCCTGGCAGAAGGCCTCCTTCATGTGGGCAGTATGGAGGTGGTAACCCTGGTGTCCCCAGAAAACTCCACTCAGTGCCATTGGGCCAGAATGGAGGTGTCGCTGACCTTCCAGGGGGTTTTGAGAGGCAGAACACGTGCCTGGGAGGAGGCTGCCCCTCCTCGGCCTTGGGGTCCATGCAGGGTTTGAACTGGATAAGCAGCAGGCTATGCCATCAGACTGTGTCCCTAGGTGGGCAGGGACCCCTTTCCCATCCCTCCAAGCTGATCCCAGCCTGGTGGCAGAGGTGGGGTGACTCGGGAGTCGGATGGCTCCTTTGCAAGTTTCTGTCATCACCTCTGCCAGGGCTGGACTAGGAGGGACATGGGGATACCCTCACCAGGCCGCGGTCCACGCCCCCGCCCAAGCCCAGCAGATCCTCTCAGCCCGGAAGTGCTCTGTTAGGTGCCGTCAACTGTCACGCGGTGACCGAGGGGAGGCTGCCCTGTCCTGTGCCGTTCCCACATCCCACCACGCTCAAGCCCACCGGACTGTGTTGTTATGGAAGCTGAGCCAGAGCCCACCGTCCAGCCGCTTTCCAGAGGCAGTAAATCACACGGGCGGAGACAGCCCGTTCTCCTGTGGAGCAGCTGGTGGATTCGAACCACTTGCCTTTTGGCAGTGCGACTCCTTATCGCTAAGCCACCAGAGCTCCCTAAGTGGTCACTTAGTGACAGTGGTCACTGTCCATCCGTCTCATGGACCCCCCCCCTTCTGCCGCGCTGTGCCTTCCGCAGCGTGATGTCCTGCACTGTGCTTCCGGGCACTAGTCCGGGGCCCATGTTTCCCCACAGCCATGGTGACTGGCACACTTGCTCTGGGGACCTGGTCTCTGGCAGGGCCCAGTGCAGAGGCATGGGCCTAGCTGACCCCTGAGCCTCTAGCTTCCCCCGGAAGGGACAGGATGAGACATGAGCCTATGGCCACCCAGCCTGGACCTCACCCCTCAGCTGAGCATGGTGCATCATGGACCCTGGGACATGCTGACGTCAACTTTCCACGATGCAGGCCTGGGGTTGTGGAGTTAAGGGGGGGAGGGGGCGGCGGTCAGGGCACTGCTAACTGGTGCAGTGACCCTTTCTGTGAGAAATGCAGGAAGAGGCCCCCCCAGGGCATGTGCCCCCTTGACTACATACTCTCTGTGTCCCGTGTGGGGGAGGACCCTTCCTCCAGAGAAACAGAAGGGACCCAAATAAGGTCTCCTCGCCTTCTGGTCCATGGAGGGGCTTCCGAAGACCTGGGAGCACTTATATCGTAAATTCCCATTCTCGCCATTTCTAATCCCCGAGGGGATTGTAATCTTCTGGACGAGGGACTATGTGTGGGGACTTTGGGTTCCTGAGCGCTGGCTTCTGAACCCTGTCTACCACCGGACCTAATGCCGGAGAGACTCAGGGAAGACCCCACTCCCAGACCAACCTGGCCTTCAGGGACCACCGTGCCCTGGACAAGCTGTATTCCCATCAAAGGACCTCTGCACAAGCGTGTACACACACCCTCGCTCACACGTGTCCCTGTGAACCCACACGCACGCTCACCATGCACACTCACAGCACTCAATCGCTCACTTAATACCCTCGTGCACTGTTACATGCGCACACACCTCCCGTGAACTCACATCACACTTGCCCATTCACACTCCTGCAGTCATTGGTGCACACATACTCACACATCCCAATGAATGACACCACACCACACACACGCACACCACTCACATCGCCATCTGTGCACATACATGTGTACACCCCCATTCACGAGTGTGCGCACACACCTGCACCTCCCTGTAAACTCACAGCACACAACACATTCATCTGTGCACAGACACATCCCGCTCAGCGGTCAGAAGTGCACACACACGTGTGCACACACTTACGCAGACCCCTCGGCCTTGTCAGCCCTGCTGGTTACTGTATTTGGGGCTCTCACTCTGCACCCCCGAGCTGCCCAAAGCCAACACGGCGGCCACAGGAGACACAGCGTCACGGCTCAGGTCTGGCGGGCAGCACCTCTGCCAGGAGAGTAGGGCTGTATTAGAGGCCCTTCAGCCCCCCAGCGCTCTGAGGCCCCTCCATCAGAAACCAGCCAGGTGTCCACAGATGGCCCATCGCTCCCTGTGGCTGGAGGGCCAGGGCATGCGGCTCATGCTGGGACCGAGGTCTGGTGGTGAGGGGGTCCGGCTTGCACAGCCGATGCGGAACGAGACTGTCTTGCATGGCTTGGTGGGTGAACTAGACCATCTTCTCTGGCCCCATCTTGACCCCTAGCAGGGGCACTGAGTGGTCATGACTGGGATTCTGGGGTGCGCTGACATCCATGACGGGCTGGCATCAAAGGCACCCCCCTCCTGCTTCTGGCAGTGGCCTTGAGGTCTGGCATTTCTGGGGCGGCATCTTCACCGGGTGGGTCTTGCTTCTGTCCCCTCCAGACCCTCACTGGGCAGCACATACAAAAAACGGCCCTCCCTCCCCCACCCCTCCCACATGCCGGGAGTCTCGTCCAGTGCGGGAAGCCCAGTCTATCTGCGGAAGGTGAGGCCTTCCCGAGGCGTCCTGGGGCCCTTCTTGCCTTCCTGGGGGAGCCTGGGCGAGGGCGCATCTGTGGTGCCACCATAGGGGCAGCTGTCGGAGCCCGAGTGGTGGCCGGAGCACTCGACGGCGGGGATGTAGCCGCTGTCCCACATGCCGGGACCACACAGCCGGCACAGATCGTGGAGGCTGCAGGGGATCCGAGGGAGGAGGCGGAACTGGTGCAGCAAGCTCCGGGCCTGAGGGGAGAGAGGGTGTGAGGCCACACCACGGCCCTGATGGCATGCGCCCCTGCCGGCCTCAGGTGGGCCCCCTGGCCTCAGGTGAGCCCCCTGGCCTCAGGTGGGTCCCCGGCCTCAGGTGGGCCCCCCGGCCTCAGGTGAGCCCCCAACCTCAGGTTGGCCCCCCGGCCTCAGGTGAGCCCCCAGCCTCAGGTGGGTCCCCTGGCCTCAGGTGAGCCCCTCGGCCTCAGGTGGGCCCCCAGCCTCAGGTGAGCCCCCCGGCCTCAGGTGGGTCCCCCGGCCTCAGGTGAGCCCCCCAGCCTCAGGTGAGGCCCCAGCTTCAGGTGGGCCCGCCGGCCTCAGGCAGGCCTGGACACCGACTGGGAGGAAGCTCTCCGAGGGCTGCCCTCTCCCGGGTACTGTGGGCTCTCACCTTCCGGAGGACCAGCTCCCCGTTCATGTGCATGGCCAGGTTTCCGAAGTGCAGGAGCATCTGGTCAGTGGCCAGCTGCTGCTCGATGACGTCGTCCCCATAGATGACGACGATGGCCACGCAGATGAACAGGTGGAAGTAGTCGGTCTGGAGGAGAAGGGACCGCAGGTGAGGTCTGGCCTCGGGAGGGGCAGCTGCGTGCCAGGGAAACCTTGCTCAAAGGCAGGTGTGTGGGTGGGTGTCCAGGCCTCAGAGGGCCACCTGGCACCTTCTGCCCTCAGAGGTCTCCCCTCTGCTAGTGAGGCCCAGGAGTGGTCCCAACAATGGCCCACTTACCTTTCCCACATCTGGGGGACCTAGGCATTCCCTGGCTTGTAGCTGCAGGCTCCCCAGCCACCGCTCTTCCCTTAAAGGATCCCATTCAGAGGGTACCAGGGCGCACCCCATTCTAGCACGACCTCCAGTTAACCAACCATGTAAAAGACCCTCTTTCTAAACAAGGCCATGTTCACAGGCATCAGAGGCAGACTTTGACGTCACCACTGGGGGGCACAGCCATTGTCCAGTGGTTCTAACCCAGGGCTCTCTGAGCCCGTCCAGTCTGGGGGGCTCTCGGCACCCCATCACACGATGCTCCACTGCTATTCACAAGTTTTCGTCAGCCGTATCTCCCACCAAGAGCCAGACTCTTGACTTTCCTGGAAGCTCTGGTAACTTCCACCCACCATGGGTGATTCAAAACGTGAAATGCTCATGACATAGCTTTCAATGCTACAGCAACATGCACGTCACCACGGGACAAGACACAGAGACGACCAGGGTTGGCACCTGCCCCAAAGGTGGCCGCCCTGCCC